TGAAATTCATAGGCATGAAACAATTTGTTTAAAGCTTACATTTCCTTTAATTCAATAAAACCACACTGACTTTGAGCTACAAATGAAAAGCACAAAGCATGTATTGTCCGAGCAAGCCACTCATACTAGAACTACCTGGAACAAACAATTAAGAGAATGTGAACTCATCCTGCAAAAAAACAATTTATTTTTTTCTAATGCTGAGAATATAAAAGAATAAAAAGATACACATATCTGATTTGGTTGTGAAAGCAATGCTGACTTTTTCAAAGAAAGCTTTTAACCAGGTAGTACAAATGCACATTCATCTAAGGCACTTAGATTGCCCATGATCATCATCACAATAGCTGAGCACCTCAAAATTTCTTCTTTGCTCTGTTAATCCTCACTCCCTGCGGGAAGATTCTGGTTGCCCTGGCATGGTTAGCAGTTAAAGACACACAAAAATAAAAGCATATGCTAGAAAATGTGCTTCAAAACATATACAAATAAACTTGTGAACAGTTTTCTTTCAAGAAAATTCTACAGGTGACTGCTATTCTGAATATATTTTAGGTGCAAAACCACTAAAGCTGGCTCTGTTCAATCAGGTCAAGTCTTGGAGCAAACCAGGACTTAAGTTAAATCAGACTACTAAGCCCACACAGGAGTTCCTTACCATTATACAGATATCCAAGCCCCAAACTGTATTTTCACACTGCTCTGACCTGTATTTCCTGCCAGAGAACATTGCTCACTTCACCTGTACTCCTCCTATAGTCTGCATCAGACAATCTTTCGAAAAATACTTTGGTGTCCTTCTGTCCCATTTATGTAAGAATCCTTCAAGTCAGGATTCAAGAGCAGATGAAAGAAACATAAGCTTCATCTAGCCAGACTTTGGATACAGCTAGAGTCAAGTTCCTGGGATTTGCTTCTAAAGACCCAAGTGTAGAGAAAGCCTAACTTTGTGCAAGGTCTCACAGGGAACTGGTAGCAGGTGGAGATCTCTATCGAGGTCTGAAATAAATATTTTAGCTACAGGAAAACCTTGTGTGTAGCTATTGTGGATAATACATCAGTTGTGTTCAAACACACATATCAGTGCTCATCAGTTTCAGTTATTTTTCTGTGGTTTTATAATCTATTCCCAGGTATAAAACAGGCCTTAGCAATGGTCACAGATCATAACAGAGACCAAGTGGCTGCCCTAAGACTCAGAAACAGATGAAAGTTGAAACAACTTCCCTTACAATAAAATAAAAACACTTAAAGAAGTTTAACAGTTATACAATACCAATCAACTGGACTGGGGGAGGGCATGGAAGTAACCTATCCATAGATTACTATTCGTGAGATCGGCAAGGAAAAAACAGAGGATGTTTCTAGCAATAAAAACCCCTTGAACTTGCATGAACTTGAATTGATCTAAATGAATAATCCTATTAGACCCTCTTAACTTTGGCCAGGATATAATTATAAGGATTGGAGACAGAAGGACCAAAACCCAGTGGGGGTCTGTCTGCAAGGCTCAACTCCTCTTGCAGGAGATTTCCTATTGCCCAGGGCATGCAGGAAGACAGACCTAATTCACAAAAACACACTTCGCAACAATATGTAATGGATTTTACATACACCTAAGACTTCAGCTCAGCAAAAAGACAATGGCAGGGGACACCACAGGTCTGTCAAGGCCTGATGGCATGCCAAGGCTGAACAGGAAACAATTCTTCATCGGCTCCAAAACAGGAACTGGGGGCTGAACAAAGCCATGAAGTAGCAGGTTCTAAAACAGGAAAGAAGTGATCCTCTTTCAAGCAGTCATGAAAGTTATAATCATGGGATGCTGGAAACACACAATTTACCTAAATTTAAAAAGCCTGCCAGCCTGCTTTAGGCTCTCAAATATAAAGGTAAACACAAAGACACACTTCTTGCTGAGGAAATCCCTAGCTGAACCAGTGAGATGGGAGCTAGGAAATAAGTCATACAACTAGGTGTACTTGTTTGACCTATTATTTTGTTTTCCCCTAGGCAAAATGGAGTGGGTCAGACAGGTTTCTGACCCTGCCAGGCCCAGGCACTGAAAGCAACTATGGGGATCTTTGACCTCTGCAGAGTACGTGCCCAGAATTCAGGCAACTCTCCAAGACAGAAATAAAGGTAGGTCACTTGAGAGAAAACAGTGACACCAGTTCAGCATTTCCCTTCTCTCTCTTCCATGTCCAAAGACTGAGAGTTTCATGGTGCACTCTCCAAGGCATAGGGCAGCCAGTCTCTTCTCCCCAAGATAACCCAAGAAAAAGGTTATTATTCTGTACATTCTCCCAAAATGAATGTTACTTGATTAAAGAAATCCTTGTTATCTTCTTGCATGCATCTTATCCCTGACAATTGCACATAGGCACTTAGGATCACCTACACATTGGTTAACAATAGCTATCACGAATCCCCATGAGCACACCTCCATGCAGTAAAACCAGCAAACCACTGTGGAAAAATTTCACCACTAGTTCCTGCTTCACAAATCACAAGTACCAGACACATCACCTAATGAGGAAATAGGGAATTTTTAATATGTAAACATACAATTTAAAATCTAGAAAATATTCTGAATCACAGTGAGGTTAACATTTCCTTCTCCCTCTGTAATACTCAAAATATAAACTATTAATTACCAAGCAGTAATGCACATGTCTTAAATATGTGAAACAAACAGATAAAAGAAAATGCATTAAAGGGAAAGACACAAAGGCACAGAACCTACATTTGCATGTTCCAGTTCCCTGCCGAGACACTGACTCTCTACATTGCCTTGAAAAAAAATTACTTGTTGCCTCCACACTTCAAATTATGGTCATAAAATGGAGGCAATGCCACTTCCTCACACTCTCACAAGGGTGATCTTAAGATTGTGAAATATCTGCATGTTACAGGATTGAAGGTCACACAGAAGCCAGGTAAGAGTGAGAAACATGTTTTAACTAGCACTTAAAGTATTTTATTACCCTTGCAGATGGAACACTCCTGTAGCCTTAGTCACCAAGTGAGATCCAGTTAAGGCTGCCAAGGAAAAACTGTCTGTTCACTCTGTGAACAAGGGCAGGATGGCAATAATGACATTCTCATATTAAATAAAAGGAATGTCATATGCACATTTTTCTGTGCAGAAAACACAACAGTTTTTGGGATTTTTTTAAAATGCAAAAGGAAGCTTGAAGTCTATTATTTAACAGTGCCACAGAGATTATCAGGGCACTGTAGTATCACAAGATTTGTTCACAGCAGGTAAAATTCACACCCTGCAGTGAACCAACAAAAGACCACTTAAATCCTAATTTCAGCCTTCATGACTGAGCCACTGACATACTTCTGTTAGTGCCACATAGGGATCGTTTCTGGATCAGAATATTAAAAGCACTTGTAATTCAATGGCATTTCCTTCACAACATTTTTGGTTTCCCACAAAAAAAGGTCAAGGGAATCTCTTATAATCTGAAGACCAAACCAATCTCTTTTATATACACTGGTTGACGCAAGTAAAACTAGGTGGTACACCCTTTTATTTCCATGAGTTTTAAAATCATGTAAACATATAGAAATTGGCTATTTAGTTAAAACAAAATTGTATCACATTTTGGTTTTTTTACCCAAATAGTTATGAAGATAGGCTATATTCAGCGAGCATGCTCTTCTATGAGAGACTTCATTATTTCTGAAAGTCAGTCAACAAGTCATCAACAGGTATCAAAATAGAGAACAAGCTTAGTATTAGAAAAAGAAATTCCAAAATATATTGAAATATTCCAATATGAGGTGACCTGCAAGTAATAAGAAATGGAAAAATTCGGCTTACTGATAAAGCCATGCCTTCAAAACTTCGTTACAGGTAAAAAAATTAGTTCCTTAAAAGGAAGAATACAGAAAATATACATTTAAGAGTAGAGCAAAAGAGGGTAAAAGTCAGCATCAAGTACCAGGGTCCTGCTCTTTTCTCTGGTATAAACACAGGCAAAAATCAAAGATGTTAAACCTCAGTCTCTGTCCCTTGGAGGGAATCGACAGGATCGTCCCTGTGCCTACCGAGCTTCCGCTGGAATAGTGGAAAGTTGGATCTGTAACAAAGATTATTTTTCCAGCAACAGTTTAATTTTAGAAAGGCACCAACAACAGGCACCGCTCTGAACACCCTGAGCGCGTTCCTTCCCCTCCCGATCCATCAGCGCCCGCTTCCTCCCGGAGACACGATGCCGCGGCGCGACCACGGCTCCATTCGGCCGCTTTAGCCGAACAAAACGCTCTTCCTGCCTGGAAAAAATAAAACAACAAAAAGCCAACTACCCAACCAACCGATGCCATAAAAAGGCAGGAAAGCGGGAGCACGGAAGGAAGAGCCGGCGTGCCAGGAGCCCGCACCGCCGCCCTCCCGCAGCGGACCCGGCGCCGCCGGCGCTCCACAAAACCCACGAACGGCGGCACTTCCGAACCGGGCTGCAGCACCCGCACCGGGCCGTGACGCCGCCGCCCGCCCTGCCCCGCCATGGCCGCCGCGCCCGCCCGCCCGCCCGGAGCTGCCCCACAGCAGCCGCCGTCGCCTGGGCAGCGCGGCCGCGGGGCTCCGGCGGGGCTCCGGCGCGGCTCCCGCCTGGCGCTCTCCCCATCCCGGCCGCACCTGTCGGGTGGTTGCGCGGTCCGGGGCGGGGAGGGCGAGCGAGCGCGACAGCAGCGGCGACGGCGGGAGACAATGGAGGAGTGAAGGACGGACACATTGACACACCGGCGCCTCCGCCCGCCCGCACCACTTCCGGCACCTCCCCGGGGGGGAGAAACGGAGGAGCCCCGGAGAAGCCAAAAAGGGGAGACAAAAGAAAAGCGTAACGCATTTCTCAACTTGAAAACAAAGAACAAGAGGGGACAGGCTCCTTCTCTCCGACAACAGCGGGTGGGAAGCTGGCGGAGGGCGAGAGGCTGGCACGCAGCGACCCCCATCCCTGGGCAGGATGGTTCGCCCCGCCGTCGGCCCCGGCAGGGCGGGGCTGCGGGCGGAAGGCTCCGGAGGAGCGGGGCGGGGCGGTGCCGCGGGAGGGGGCGCTGCGGGAGCCGTCCCGGGCCGATCCCGCCTTACCGTGCGCGGGGGCCGCGATGGCTCCCCCCAGGAAAGGCGACCTGAGCGCGGAGGAGAAAGAGCTGCTGGCAGTGATCTCCACAGGTGAGCCCTGCCGGCCCTCGCCGCTCGCGGCCGCGGGCCGCAGCTCCCACGGGCCGCGCTGGCCGTGCCCGGAGGATTGCGTGGCCCCGCTCGCTGCGGGCGGCCGGTGAGGCGCCGTTACGGCCGCTCGCCGCGGGCTCCCCTCGCCCCGGCCGCGCTCCTCGGGTCACGGCGCTGAGGGCCGCCTGCCTCCCCCCCGCCGTCGGCCGCCACCCTTCTCCCCGCCGCGGGTTCACCTCCCTCGGGCAGGCGGCACCCGGGGAGTGCGGGGGGCGCGCTGCGCTGCAGCGGGGCTGGGGAAGCTCAGCTGGGCCGGTCTGGCGCTGCCGAGGAAAGCTTGCTTGCATCTTATTGGCAATGTCTGTTGACGTTTGCCGAATTATGATGTCCGCTGCCAAAAAAAAAAAAAAAAAAAAAAAAAAAGTTTTCTTGGGGATAATCCAGTTTTCCAGCGTGCTGTAAGGTTTTTCCCGTGTCATGTTGTCAGACCAGGGCGTCTTTGCAGACACGTTATTCTTACATTGCCAGCACTTGAGCTTGTTTGGGGTGTTGTGCACCTCTTATCCCTTATAATGTTCTATTTTACTGCTCCTTATACTATATTATATTGCTCTGTTAGAGAGAGGAAAGGGGATCAATGTCTATATGAAGGAATGGTATCAAGATGATAGAACCAGGTGCTTCCCGGTGGTGCCGAACAACAGGATGTGAGGCAGTGGGCAGAAACAGATGCACAGAAAATTCCTCTTGAGTAAGAGTGGAGTTGACCGTGCACTAGAACTGATTAACCAGAGAAGTTGTGGAGTCTCCCTCACTGGAGATACTCAAGAACTGTCTGGATGCAATTCTGTGCCATGTGCTCTAGGATGGGCCTGCTTGAGCAGGGAGGTTGGACCAGATAACCAGACTGCTGTGGTCCCTTCTAACCTGACCCCTTCTGTGGTTTTGCATTTCATGTGAGTGTCACACTTTCATTGCACTGTCTGTCACACATACTGGTTGCCAGGGGAATTTTCTGTCATTTGGGTTCCAGCAATGTGAATTTCATAACTCTGAATAAATAGTTCCCCTCCAGCTGGTATTTTGAAAATCATGAACAACATTCATTAGTTGGAAGCAAACGAAAAATTCATGTGTTCTATGCATTTCTGTATGTAGTTACCAGGCAATTTGAACGCATGAAAGTTTTGCTACAGTTTTGATGCTTCACTCTCAGTTGTATTTAACTGTTTCTCCATGTCAGAGACACAAGCATAAGACAGTCAGCAGTGAATTTGTTGTGGACCAGAACCAGTTTGATTGACTCACTTTAATAAGTGTTTCAGACCTTGATCTTGCAGACACCTCTGTCTAACTTACTTGATGCTTCTGATTAGGGTAATGGGATAATTCAGGTTGGAAGAGGCCTCAAGAGGTCTCTAGGCCAACCTCCTGCTCAAAACACATCAGCTGTGAGGTCAAATGTGATCACTTAGGGCTTTATCCCATCAGGTATTGATAACTTCCAAGGAGGATGGCTGCACAGTGTCTCTGGGCAATCTCCTTGCCTTACTGGGTTCATTGTGAAAATGTTTTTCCTTGTATCCAGTCTGAAGCTTCCTTTTATTTCAGCTTCTGCCTGTTAACCTCTTGGCTTCCTACCATGCCACCACTGTGAGGAGCCTGGCTCCAACTTTTAGCTCTGGCCAGTTCTAGAAGTCTGACTTCCATCAGTTTAGTGCCTTGTTGGAAATCCTTCAACGTTTTGTCATATAGAACTCTGTATTTGTAAATGCAACTTTGCTTTGCTTAGGTTGTATTAAAATTTACTTGAAGATCACCCCTTGAAGACTTTCTCTTACTGATGTTGGTTCTTTAGCTGGGATATTCCT